GGGCCCCCCCCCGCCCCGCCCCGCCTCCAGCCCAGTCCAGCCCAGCCCCGCCCCGGGCTCCTTCGCCCGCGCTGCAGCGTTAGGGGTAGGGGTAGGGGTAGACCCCCCCGCCCTGCGGCGCTGCCTGCCCCCGGGGCCGCAGGAGCGATGGGTTGATAACGGGCAAACCCCGGCAGCTGCTGGACCCCTCGCCGCGCCTGGCAGGGCGGGTTTACCTGCGACCCAAGCCTGGGACCGCGCCGGGTCGTGCTCCAACGTCCCGCAGCCGGCGCGTGCTCGGCCGCGGCTGCAGCACAGCCCCGCGCGGGACGAGACGCCGACAGGAGCCCGGGGGGGCGGGGGGTCAGCTGTTTATTGCGGGGGTTTCCAGCACCATTTGCATGGCGAGAGCAGGTTTCTGTATGCGGGAGGGGGCGCAGCGCCGAGCAGAGACCCAGCTGCCGCTGCGAAAGCAAGGCCCTTCCCTGCCAGGCGGGGGGAGCGCGGGGACACCGCGCGTGCAGCCCGGGGAGCCGGGCGGCAGTGGCAGACGGGGCTGTTCCCTCCCTCTGCAGCCGGATCATGTTCCTCTACCTCTGCCCGCCAGTAAAGAAACGCTCCGGCTCCAAAAGCGTAGAGCTGGCGAAGACCCACTTGGTCACCCTGCCTGGGGACTGCAACTTGGCACCGGTGTCTTGTGCCCTTCCTTGGGGTCTCTCAGTGCTGTGTTCATGTGAAGTCAGCCTCACTCTGTGAGGTAGGTGAGCACAATCATCAGCTCCATTTTATAGATGGGGAAACTGAGGCAGAGAGAGGCAAAATGATTTGCCCAAGGCACACAAGGAAGTCTGTGGCAAAGCCCCAGCTCTCCAGTCCCAGCCACAAAACCATTCTCCCTACTGCTTGCTTGCTGGGTGTCCCAAATGGTGCTTCCCATAGGAGAAAGTCAGTCCCATACAGCTCTGTGAGGCCCAGTGACTAGTTGGGTTGGGGGGGATATAAAAGAAACAAAGTCGGGTTGGGCGCTAACCAGCCAACATTTTTCCTTGCAATTGCTTTGGAGAGGCAGTCATTCCCTGGGGGGGGATTCTTAGTAGGTTTCTGATTCATAAGGTCACTTGGCGGGTAGCTCAGGTTCCTTGTAGCTAAGAGGAAGTAGGCACCATGTGAGGAAACAGCTGACTCTATCCTAGTTTCTAGCTCCATCATTTGCAGCAGGCTGGAGCAGGTATGGGAACCCCTGTCAAATTGTGGTTAGCTTGTTTCACATGTTTTCGCTTGCCACCAGCATTTGCAACATGAAGCACAGTTGCAGAAGTGTGTGGGAGATGGCAAACAGCAATACGCAGCTGATTTGCATCCAGCTAGATTTATCATCTAATCAGGTCAGGGCCAGTTTGTGTGCAGTGACATTTCAGAGTTGTGCACTGACTTTGCAGGAGCCAGGTCAGGGACTGTCAAACACGCACAAGTGTCTTCTTGCCAATGCCCAGAATCGGCACTTGAGTGAAAAGAGCGCTTAGTCTTGGTCTGCACAAAACTGGCCCGAGAGAGACCAGAAGGGAAGATTTGACGCAGTGCAGATTTAATCGCACAGTTTGGAGCATGGGACCTCTGACAGTGGCTCTGAACCTGGCTGGAGCAGGCTTGTAAGCAGTTTAGAGCAGGATCCATTGGTTTTGTGCATATACAGCACCTTGCACAAAGGGGTCTAGGAGCAGGGCTGCTAGGTGCTAGTCTAACCAGTCCAAGTGATTTTTGGTGCAGACAAGTCCTTATGCACCACCTTTTAGCCAAGGATTAAAAAACACTTTTTAGATATTAATGAGCAAAGCCTCAGTGTCACCACAGTGAAGCAAATGAATATTTTTATCCCCATTTCAGAACTGGGGAAATTGAGGCACAAGAAATCCAGGTCACATGGTGAGTCAGTGACAGAGCAAGGGAGAAACCCCAGGAGCCCTGATTCTTAGCCCCATACTCTAACCACTGCATAGTGCTGCCCCTTCCCCCTTCGTGTTTCATTGGCTGTTTAGTGCACCAGCATTTTGGACTACCTTCTTAGGCCCTGTATTAGATGCTGGGTGAGACTCTGGAGCTACATGCTCTTGGCTGCCTTTAGGAAAACATCCCCGATTTAAAATTATTATTGGCTTTGAGATTTCCCCCGCCCCCCAACTTATTATTTAACTCAACATATCTGAATACTTGGGTTGAAATAAGCCAAAGGTCTGCATTCCTTAAAAGCCCTATGTTTCCCCGTGCACTGACTGGCAAATCTTCTTGGTTCTTTACCTGTCTCAGGACTGCAAATCCTTCCAGTTACAGAAAAAGGGCACCAGGATGTCAGCACAGAGGGAGCAGCTCGGCCCCTTGTAATGCATGAAGATGGAGGTGGTGCAGGACTATCAGGACAGTGACACTGATGCAGGCAGGAGTTCCCAGAGTTCAGCCAGGGTCACCACTCCAGGAGCACTCTCAGGCCCCGTGCTTCCCTGGCTGAGGGTTGTGGGATCATTTGCCAGCCTCCTGACTATCCTAAGTTCCTCCCCCACAGTGTGAGCAGCTTTGCTGGGAGGAGCACAGCTCTTCAGCAGACCCAGCTCAGCCTTAGGGACAAGCAAGAAGCATAGCCCTTGATCATACAACCACTCTACGCTGACACAGCACCATCTTAGACCACCCCCCACTCCCCAGGACCTGGGCACAGAGACGCAGCATGCTCCCTACCCAAGACACAACCTGGCCACCCGGAAATCCCCCAAGACCAGAGCAATGTAAGCTGGCAGCTGGTTTGCAGGTTGCCCATTTACTGGATTTCTGGGACTTACATTGGGCCCCGTCCTTGCTTGCTGCTGCAGGGCAGAGCTCCCTGCCTGAGACAGGCTTTCCCCAGGGCTCTTCTTTCCATCCCAAACCCGCTCCCAGGTGCTGGCTGGGTTACTTCCCTTGGGGCTGTGTCGATCCTGCCCCCTGGTGGCGGAAGAGAGCAGTGCCAGGAGGGGGGTTGGTGGATGGGGCTGGCTGGGAAGCCACCGTGGGTCAGAGGGTGTGCGTTTCCACCCACTGGCAGAGGCGCCGGGCGTACTGGGTTGGGCAGACAGTGGAGAAAGTCTGTCCCCGGTACCGGATGCACTTCCAGAGGTGCTCAAGCCTCTTGCGCAGGCTATACACGGTGAAGAGGTCGATGATACCCACAAAGTAGCGGAGCTCTGGCCCATCAATGACATGCAGGGGGTTCTTGTAGTTGGGCAGCAGGCGCCGGTTCTGGGCCAAGGCCCGGGACAGCTCAGGGCTGGACTCGGGGCTGCTGCGGAGGCTGACGTCCTGCAGGTTGCCCTTCCCATCAACAGCAGCCTCACATGTGTGGTACACGCTGGCCCCCGACAGAAGATCGGATACTAGGATGGCAGACTCCTCGCTGATGGCCCCCGGCACCATGGCTCTCTGGTGGCAGCCCCGTCCATCGACAGACCTGCAGAGGGGGACGGGGGGAAGGCCAGCATGGCAGCATGGACACAGCCCGTATCAGGGGCAGGAGCATGTGCACCAGTGGCTGCTTTGAAGAGTTCTGGCACCAGGTACTTTGGGACGTGTGGGGTTTCTGAGGCTCAGTCACCTACAACTGCACACTGATCTTGAGGCCCTGCCTTGCCAGGGGAAAGAACCACTAGGGAGAGCCTCACAAGCAAGTGGGGTAGGGGCTTTCTCCTGGGCCTCCTCTCAGCCAAGGTGCATGTCAGGAGTGGACAGGGACAGGTAGTGAAGAGGAGGAGCTGTCTGATAGCTTTTTTCTACATCTGAGGCTCATAAACATCCCCTGGGAAACAGGATATCAGTTTAGAGCAGCTCCAAGGCTTCTTCTCCTGATAGCAGGGTGCTGGCAGGCCCTCCGAGAGCCCTGAAGCATGGGGAGGATGGAGGCTTTGAGTTCCAGGACTTTTTCAGGCTGCACCCAAGCAGCCTGGCAGGCACCTGCAGCCACTCTTGTTTCCACTGCTTCCAGCCACTCAAGTGGAACTGCAGAAGCCCAGCTCAGCCATGCCCCCCACCCCCCCAGAAGCTGAGCACTCACTTTGCAGTCCTGGTGATGATGCTGGCAAAGTTATGGCTCAGTTCATCTGCATGAAGTGGCTGGAAGGCCACCAGCAGGCTGTAATCCAGCACGTTCAGCCCCTGCAGGAACTGGGTGTCCAGCTTCACCTGGCGGATGAACCAGGAGCGCTGATGACCTGCCAGTGGTGGGAGAAAGTACAGAAAGGCTGAGAGAGACCAGATGGGAAGCCTGGCATGGAGGGGAAGAGCACAGGAGCTGAGCAAAGCCTGGCTGCACGAGGGGCTGAGTATGAGGATGGCCCAGATGCCCTGCTGCTGCTGAGGCAGCTTGCCTGTTCTTTGCATAGCACCACAGCCATCTGCAGCCATCTGTTCAGTGCCAATGGTAGAATGTGGCCAGACTCTCTTTCAGGCTGTGGGCAGGAATCCAGAGCCCCCTGCTTCTTGCTGGTGGGTGAAGCCAGCAGCTCCAGGCACCCTTGGCAGGGTCCATATAGAGTCCTGATAGACACAGCATGCCCTGGGAGCTCCTATTACAAATGAGCTCAAAGGGCAAGAATCTCAGCAGACAAGCTGCAGGAAGGAGAAGCAGTTGGTGCAGATGGGCAAGGCAAGAGAGGAGGGACACACCAGCTGAGAGTGCTACACTGACACACCAGCTGAGAGTACCACAGCCCTGACAGGCGCTACAGTCCTACCATCCCAGTGCGGTAACAGGGCATCTACCCCTTGGCTGAGACACTGGGGACTGAATGGGAGACTGCAGAGCCAGAAGCACAAAGCTCTTCAGCTTATGCTAAACACCCAGGCTCCAGCCAGTGGGTTCTGGTGGCCTGAGCTTTAGCGTGGGGGCTCAGCCCAGTTCAGTGTCCCAAGCATAAAGCCACTGCAAAGCATGACTTGGCCTCCCATGCTGACAGTGAGGCCAGAAGCAAACAGGAGCACAACTCGAGTGACCTGCTTGGCCCTAGAGGTGGCAGCTCCAGGGCAGCTGGGCAGGCAAGTGCCATATTCCTTTGGTGGGCAGAGCACTTGGGACATTGATCCAGCATCTCCAGCAACAAGGGGTCTCTCTCTCCCCTCCCCTCCCAGTGCCTGTGCACCGCCCAGTGGTGCAGTGAGCGGGGAGGCTCTGTGCAGCTGCTCACTGGTGCTATGTAGAGACATGGAGTTCCCTGGTGGTGGGACAGGATCAAGGGGCAAGTGGCCCAGCAGAGCCCATTGCCTCCATGAGCCTGGGCCAGGGAAGGACTCACTCAGGCAGATGGCCTTCCCTTCGAAGTTGAGGTCCTTCAGCACCACAATGACCTGTCTGCCCTCCGGGACTGGCTCCGTCCAGCGGCTCACTTGGCAGCCCTTGATGTCATACCTGCATGTAACAAGAAGGACAGGTGACTCCCACAGGACTGAATGAGCCTCTGCTTAACTGCTGCTGTGCCTCACCCAGCCCATGCCCACATGACATCACGAGCATGGCTCAGAGAGCAGAGGGGAAGCCTCTTGCTGTGTTACAGAGTCTGAGGCAGTGAAGTGGGGAAACCCAGGGCTTTGGATGGGGCTGGATGCTCACTAATTTCAGCAGGTTTACCTAGGACAAGTTCACACTTGTCATGCTCCTTGGACTTATCTCACTGCAGCCACCAGAGGGCAACTTGATGACCTACACCTGCTGCTTGTGTTTTACAGCTAGGAGCTGTAGGTAGCTCTGGGTGTGTGAGCACTGGGGCTCCTGGACAGACAGGCAGACCCTCCCGAGGGGTGGGAACGGCTGGGGAGAGGAGATGACCACGCACAGCACTCTGAGCCCTCGAGCCCCACCAGCCTGGAGCTCACCGCTCGGTGATCCTCTCATCAGGGTAGAACACGCTCTGCATGATGATGAAGTATTTCTGGAGAAGAGAGCAAGAGCACGCATGAGCTCCTGGCCCAGAGGCTTCGGCTTATAGTAAGGGAGATTTCAGAGCGCAACAGAGAGGCAGAGCTGGGTGCACCCAAGGGTAAGGCAGCAATGTGGGTGGCGGGCTTCAGCAAGCAGGTGAAACATACCTTCTTCCTCCCGGCTATGATGATGCTGTGGACACCTGAAGGGCAGGACACAGGAGCAGAGTTCAGAGGAGAATGGCCTGGATCCAGAATCTCAGCCAGGGGCAGCTCCATCTGTTCACAGACACTACTCTGCCCAGGCAGGGGCAGCACCTCCAGGGTCCTCCTTCACCCAGGTACAAAAGAGCCAAGAGACTCTAACAAGGTGGGATCAACATGGGGCAGGGCCAGGCAGAGCGAGAGCAGGGCTTGCAACCACCAGCTGCAATCTCTGTCCCGCCCCTGGATGGCGCAAGGGGCCCACCTCACTGTTGCTCTAACTCAGAGCTTTCCAAACTTTTCATGTTGGTGACACACTTTTTAGACATGCATCATTTCGCGACACAGTAATTCAGTTCCGGGGGAGGGGCCAAGGGAAGCAGACGCGAGTAAGGGAGCTCCGCGGTGCCCTTCCGCAAAATTTTCTGCATTTCGCGCGACACACCTACACATTGCCGCTGACACACTAATGTGTCGCGGCACACAGTTTGGAAAGCTCTGCTCTAACTAGTGACCAGCCCATGTGTTAGACCCACGCTTGGCTCTAATAGGGGTTACACTGCCAAGCCAGCTGGATCAGACACCTTTGGCTCTTGTCTATGCTCAGCTTTTTGCTCCAGCCACTTGTGGGCTCCTCTGAGGCTTCTCTTACCCAGGAACTTGACGAGGAGGGAGTGAGGGTATCTCTCAAGGTGTTGGAAGTACTTGGGCAGATGGGTAAGGAGGAACCGGATCTCCCTCTTACTCTGCGTCTTGAGGAAGAAGCCTTTGTTGTTCCTGCAGGCAAGGAGGTGGGAGTTCATGGCGGGGTGTGGAGTGAATGCCCCTGCACTTTCCCTCAGGCCTGCTCGAGTCCTGAAGTGCCCCCAGCAACCCAGCCATGTTCCCCTGGGCCCAAGCCATGCACAACACATCTGCACACTGGAAAACCACTTCAACTCCAGTAACTGACTTGCAGTCCCATTCCCAGAGAATGGACAGGAACAACACCCACACAGGCATGGCCAAACACATACAGACTTGAAGCCAGCCCCCAAAACCACCTTGCACTGGGTTGCAAACACCATCCTCCACCCCGCTCAACACCCAGCGCCCATGCCTCAAAGCCAGGTCATTAGAAGCACTGTCTTCTAGTGCACCCACTTTATGGAACGTACTCTCACAAACCCTGATGCACTGGGTACCTATATGGGGCCTTCACAAACAACATCCACCCATTCATGTGCACTTGCTACAGACAAGCACATACAGCACAACACGTCCTTTATGTGTGCACACGTGCGTGCATTGTTGCCAAGGGCGCACATAACATTCATGGCTGCAGCAGAAGCAATGCGGTCTGCTCTGCTCTGTGAGCAAAGGGCCTCACAGAGCTTTCTGGTCCCTTGTGCTCTTGACAGTTCACTTAGTCAGGGACAGATTTTCAAAGGTATTTAAGGCCCCTACATCATATTAATTTCCACAGGTGTTAGGCACCTGGTCACCTTTACAGGTCTGGCCATCAGCTCCTCACAACACAGGGTTAGTAGATTTTGGGGCTAAATTCTGCCAGCAGATATTCATGTGCGTCTCCCATGGATGATAGTGGGACTTGGGTAGAAGCAGTACGAACCAGTGGCCACTCTGAGACCATAGGCCTGTCTGGCAGAGACTCACGTGAGGAAGAAGTCTGCCTTGCTCTTGGAGTTGCTGATGAACTGCAGGTAGGCGCTCTCAGAGGACAGGGACAGCTGGTATTCCTTCTCCGACATGCCCAGTGAGCGTCTGAAGAAAGCGAAGGCAGGGCCAGCATACGTCCGCATCTCAAAGCCCTGCAGCAATACAGAAGGTGGAAGCAACACCAGCTTCTACTGCCCCCAGGTATCTGATACACCCTTTGTCCGTTGGAGAGGTGGGGAATCCCACTCCTTCTCTGGGCTGGCAGGGAGATGGGCAGCAAGGGCCTCGGGAATGGCAGCAGCATCCATACCCTCTGCCAGGGCTACTGAGTACAGATGTTGCCATGTGCAGGCCAGAGATGTCCATTGGCATAAGCACACACGTGGGATATGAGCTGGTCTCTGTATACGTGCAGTGTATGTGCACACAGGTATGGATGTGGGGTGTATAGGGGAATGAAGGTGTGGGGAAGAGGGCTGGGGGGGAATGCAGGGTAGCTCTCTGGCTGGGTGAGTGAGGGTCCAGCACCTTCCCCATGTACCCCATGCTTCGTTCTCCTCTGCTGAGGAGAGTTCCTACCTCATGGGCCTGCTTCAGTACAGCGGTAAAGTCTGCTTCAGTCAGGACATCCTGGCAGAGGGAGGCAGAGAGAGACTCAGAGTCCTGCTGCAGCCATCTCTGCACTCAGCTCCCTTAGCTGTCCCTGCTACATGCTGTGCAAAGCCATGACACGGGGAGAAGCCGGCCCTCCAGAAATGAGTAACAAGTGCAATGGCCACTCTAGGAGCCATGCCTGCCTCTGCCTGCCCCTGCCTCCTCCCCTTGGACCCCATGCTGTGAATGGTATGGAGAGGGTCACTCCTGTTCCTGGCCTCATCTCCCATCTCTGATCCAGATGGGAAGGAAGGAGCTGCATCCTCTGTCAGCAGGGCAGTGCAAATGGACCTCGTGTCCTAAGCCTTGCGATGTCCTTATGAGTCGTGGGGTGCTGGAGTGGGATGCAGCCCTTCTGGTCATGGCAGGAGATGCTTCAATCCTCTCCCTGTTTCAGCCCTGCTTGGGGAGGTTGCAATTGGCTGCCTGCACCTAGCCCCAAAGAGGTGATCTGCAGCAACCCCTACTTCTCCAGCCCCTGAGGAAGGCTGGTCCTGCAGGTAAATGGTCTGGCCCCCCGGACACACTCACCAGAGGTGGGTTGTCAATGGCATCCTGGACAGCAGCCTTCAGCCCTGCCTTCAGCATGCAGGTCAGGTCATGAAACTCATGCTCCTGGTCGATCTCAAAGAGGCCCAGGAGCTTCCACTGCTGGCGGAGCCTCCAGAAGGACTTTCGCTTCATCACGGAGGACTGCCTGCTCATCCTGCTGCCTGAGGCATTGGCCTAGAAGAGACAAGGTACCGCAGGGGGTCAAAAGGGAGAGCCCTGCTACATGGGGGAGGGGAACACATGGCTCCTGGGCTTGAAAGGACCATCCCAGTCCTGGCACATATGGCCATGGGGCAGAGGAGCTGAGAGTGAAGAGGTGGGCAGAAATGAGGAAGAGGAATCTTGTAAGAAACTTCAGAGGGCAGGAAGGTAATAGGGAAGTGCGGGGAGCTGACAGAGGAACACTGCAAGAGAGCAGAGAGCTGATGAGGTAGATCATGTGCATGAACCTTGTGCCCCCGAGACTGGTGACAGCTAAGCAGGGGATGCAACAGCAAGGCTAGCCCAGAGGCAAGACAGCAAAGGGGAAACATGGCATGTGCCATGCCTTGGGTGAAATCCTGGCTCCATTGGAGCCAACAGCTAAAGTCCCACCAACTCCAGTAAGGCTGGGACTTTGGCCTGGGAACATATGAATTGCTGGTGAAAAAGCAAAGCATTCAATTACCTTGCAGACAGGAGCTGTGTGCACACACCACTCCAGGCTGGGCAGATCTGATGGGAAGGGGGGTTATACTCCAGGGGCTAACGGTAGGAGTTTACTCCAATGACTATCCCAGAGCTCATTAGACAGCTACAGACCTCAGAGGCTACTCAGCAAAGCACTAAGCCCTTTGCTCAGCAGGACCTGGCCCAGGTAGCTTAACAGGGTTCCTCAGCTGCAAAGATATTTAACTGCAAGCTGAGTGTGCTAGAGAGAGAAAGGGCAAGAGGGCAAGCAGAGACTGAGCTTCTCAGGCACTGAACTACCTGGAGGAATATACCTGGGGATTTCTCTGAGAGAACTGCCTGCTGCTAGCTATTTTTGCTGTGTCCAGAATAGGGCTGTGTGTCTAATGCTGGTAAGTGAACAAGACTGCCGCAAACAGAATGCCTCAGCTGCATCATTGATTTCTCCTCCTAACAGGAAGAAACCACTAAGGCGGTGAATGGCTCTGAGCATGACTCGCAGTTGGAGCAAAGGGTCCCTAGTATAAGAGACCAGGGATCTGCATCTTCTGCTGTGAGTGCAGACTACCGGACCACAGTCCCTCTGAGAATGCGAATTGTCACCTTGACCTTGCCACTTGCTATCGCACAAACCCATCTGCCCCCTCCTTTTGCCACCACATGGCCATGCCTCCTCTCTCCCCTGTACACCATGTTGCAGACCCAGCTCCACTCCCACAGCCCTTCTAACAGACAAGGAGGATGAGAGCCCCTCTACCAGACAACACTGTCTTCTTGATGACTTACCATGGCTCCTGTGTACGTATCAGGCTGTAGCTCAATAGTGAATCCTTCCTGCTGGGGCAGCTTAGCGAGGGATTCCTACCAGCGAGCCCGAGCTTATAATGCATGGGGTGCTCCACCTATACTGGGGACAGCCAGGCTGCACAGAGAAGAGCACAGGGTGTCAGCATATCAGTGCAGCCACCTGAAAAAGGGCAGCTAAGCACAGCATGCATGCAGTGGGGGAATGCAACGTGAAAAACCAGCCCTATAGGTTACTGTGTCATGGGACAGGTGGCTGAATCCAAGCGGAAACAGAAATCACGGCTTGTGGCAAGGCTCCAGGAGGAAGTGGAGCTTAAGTAAGCGAACTCTGAATAACCAGTGGGAGCTCAACACTGGGGTGGGACTGACTAGGGAGAATCTAGTCTCCAAAGGGACTTAGCAGCTGGAGGGGCACAAAAATGCATGGCAGTGGGAGACTGAGCCGCAGGAGGCTGCGAAGAGGAACCCATAGAGTAGCGGAGACTGGACACCCACATGCTCAACAGGGCAAGGCTGCCGGATTCAGGAAGGCAAATCAAAAGGGCCACTGGGCCGGCTGTCATCGCCATCCAGCTGCTGGCCCGGTGCATCACTGCAGCTGACGGTCCTGTCTTCTCAGTCACTCACCGTAGCTCGCGGCAGTGACGGGCCTCTCTGAGCACGGACTTGTCTACAGGGGGGAACTGCCCGGAGCCACTCAGGCGGGTGGGCCAGGGCCAGGGCCAGGGCCAGGGCCAGGGCCAGCTCCTTCCGGAACCGGGGCACTTTGTGAGCGCAGCGCGGGTTCCAGAACGCCCGCGCCCAGGGGCCCGCGTCGCCACGGCGGTCTCCGCTGGGCCCAGGAGATGCCCAGAGCTCGGGTGGGTGCTGCGTGGGTGGTCAGGAGCCCCCGCCAGGCCAGATGTGCCCAGGGGGCAGCAGGCTCATGGGGCAGAACAAGCCCCAGGCAAAGCGGTGGAGCCGGCACCCACCCGCAGGCTGGAGGGGGGCCCGGCCCCGACCTGCGGGCGGCGGCCCCCGCGCATCCTCCCGGCCCGGCCCGGGACTCGGCTTCCCGGGCGAGCAGTGCCCGCAGCGGGGCCGGATCCCGCCCGCCCCGCCCCGGGCGATGCGGGCTCACCCCCCCGGGAGCGTCCCGGTCTGGCCCCGGCCATGCAAGGCTGCCGGCTGCGAGCTGCGCCCGTCCCTCCCAGCCCGACTCGTCGCCTTGGAGCCGGAGCCCGGAGGGAGGCAGGGATTTGGGGTAGCATCGGCTCAGCTGCCGGGAGACGGGTCCGGGGAGGGAGATGCTGGGCAGACACGGGAATCCGAGTCCCTGGAGACCCGGTGCAAGCTGTGCCCTGCAGACCGGGGGTAGGTTTGCATTGCGGCCTGGAAGGGGGCCTCCCCCCCACACCCCTTACCTGCATGGTAAGAGGCCTTGCAGGGGATTATCCCTGGCCCTTGAACAGCTGCGGTCTCACCCCACCCGGGGTGCTCGAATCCCAGCTACCTGGGCCGGGCTGCGGCTCCCATGGCTAGTCTCAGCTCCGCTCCACTGCTGCAGAATGGGAGAGCCTTGTCTGGGGGGGTGAGGCCCTCAGCCAGCACCACAAAAAGGGCATTGTGGGATCCCTCCAAGCTACCGCCTCCGTCAGCATATTGCAGTGACAGCCTGCTTTTGCCTGTGCGTGGCGCAGAGCCAGGAGCCTGTATTGACCCAGAGCTCTTTGAAAGATGTGGCTCCAGGCCTGGGGCAAGCACAGGGAGGGGAGCAGTTGTCACTCGTGGCTCTCTCCGTACCCGAGGGCCACCCTTGATCTTCTCCCAGGCATAAGGGAAGCCATCTCCTGGGAGGAGATCCCACCTGTCTGCATCCACCCTGAGAATGAGCTTGCCTTTAGGGCCTTCCAATTTAATAGCCAAGTTTTATTCATTCTTTTGACTGTTAGAACAAAAAGCCCCTTATTCTGGTGTCTCCTCCTCCAGCAGGACTTTTCACCCACAACAAAGCATTTCTTCCCTTGCTTTGAGGATCCTGCTGAGGGAGACCCAGCAGATCTCACCTTCCACATGTCCCCTGAGTGCTCCATGGGCTCACCTGCCTCAGACAATCTGAGATGGAGCTCCAAGCCCTGAAAGCATTAGAGGCCATAACCCAACAGGAAAGGTAAGAAAGCAGAGTGCGAGGGAGAAGACAGCAAGGACACAAAAGCTCAGCACGTACCACACGCTGAGCACACAGCTAGGAGGGTAGGTCCAGGGACCTGCATTTTGCTAGGTGGGGGAATTTCCTCTATTGCTTTAAGAGCAATAAAATGTGGACGGAAAGATGACTAAGGTTCAACTGACTGGAGTCACTGAGTGGGGCCAGGCTTTGCTCTGGAGAAATCTCCACAGGCAGGCAGCTGCTGCATACAACCGAGACCCTGCCTGCAGGGAGGGAGGGGGATAAGCACTTGCCATGGGCCAAATAATTGCCCATTCCAGAATTTGTCAGGAGGGAACAGTTCCTGCTCTTTGGCCATAGAGTCCTAGGTCTGTTTCAAGTCCTTTTTCACAGCACAGCTGTGCAAAGATGCAGGGCAAGCAGAATGGGGCAAAACTGCTGGGCAGGCTCCTCAGCTAGGGCATTGCAGGTTCAGCTGGATGAAGTACTGAGAGGTCAGCACCCCTGGCTCCTGGCCTAGTCATCCACTCCCCACACCGTCCCCCTCACCAGACCTACCCCACCCACCCACAGCCGTTTGCTCCAGGCTGCTCTGTTCTTACTTGTACTGATTTGTGGATTTCCCTGATGAAGATGCCAGGGAAAGGGTCTCTGGGATCATTCCAGTCATGCAAGCAGAATCCCTACTTGGTTCAGCGTCCTCAGGCTGCTAAAGCTAGAGTGTGACACAGAGACTGAAAGCTGGAGGTGGTGGATCAGAAAAGACAGAAGGGGAAGGATGAGCCAACAGTCACTCCAGGGCAGACAGGCTGGGCAAGTTGCCTGCAGCTGCTAAGAGATGTGGCTTTTTGCTCCCCCACCCCTTCACTTCTGGGTCTAAATGTGCATGGGGGCTGGTTACTATTTCCAGTGCTGAGGAAAGGGGAACCAGGATAAGAAAGATGGAGAATACACTAGAGGAAGCAAAGCAGCTGGAGCATGGTGCAGAGGACTAGAAGTACCCTGGCTCCTGCCTTGCCCCAGTCCAGCAGTGCAAAGATGGTCAGGCTGAGACTGCCCATTTGGGTGGGTGTCGGTGACAGAAAGCAGTGCCAACGCAGTGCAGCAATCTCAAAATAGAAATCTCTTGGCTAGAATCTCTGCTCACCTCCCAGCCCAGCCCCAGTGCAAGAGCTGCACTTAAGCAAACAGATACAGCCTTCCCAGAGCAGAGGGGCTGCAGCTCTTTGGGAGCTAGGAAGGGTTTTCTCTCAAGAGCATTCCTCAAGCCTCCCTGGAGTAACAGCCCAGCATCAGTGCAGCTAGGCATAGCCTCCTGCATTGGCCCAGTTCAGTGAAGAGCAGGAGAGGAGTTACTGAGTCACTGCTCTGGCACAAGGGGAACTCGCCAAGCTGGCTAGAAGAGGAACCGAGCTTCTCCTGAAGGCCAGATTCTGCCCCCTCGTGCACAATGACAAGTAAATCAGGCTCTTCACGTCCAATTGGAGCAGGATACAGACAGATCTATTTGGTAACTGCAGCCTTCCCCTTGGAGCATCATTCACTGGTCTCCGCACTATCACTTTACCGTCCGTCTCCAGGATGCTGTTATTACTAGATTTGCTCTTTGGCTGGTTAATCCTTTAACAGGCACTAGTACGATGCCACAGAAACGCTCCTGGGATCAGTGTTCTCTCAGGCACTTCCTGGGTGAGGAGGAACAGCATCAGGTCGTTTTGTTCCAAGAGCCTGGCTTTGAAGGGATCCCAGTAATGGCACTTCCTTGAGAAATTTAGTGCTGCATTCAGGCAAAACAACATGGAATGCCTGCACCCCCAGATCCAAGCCTGGGTCCCACCCTCGTACCCCACATGCCACTGGGCTTGGTCTGTGAAAGCTGTGAGGGCCTGCTGCTTGGCATCTCACTCCAGGCACAGCTCCACACAACTTATATATCCATCCCTTAAGCATGCAATGGAGCCAGGGAGAGGATGCAAGAGCAACCCCAGAATGAGAACCAGGCATAACCTGGGCAGGACCTCTCCTAGGCCAGGTCCCCTGTGAGCTTACATAGCTGCAGACTGGTTGCAGTCCCCAAGATTCCTTCTGCTGGAAGGATGTGTTCCCAAGGCCCCCCTGCACCGTTTCATGCCCCCCACATTGACAGGGCACACAGAGAGACCCTTCAAATATTTTATTGAGGGAGATGCTGTTGCTTTCCCTTCTACTGGAGCTTCTGGAAGCAGGCATCCAGGTGCTAAGGAGTAAATGCCCTGTTGCCTGAGAAGTGCCTAGCACAGAAGGAGCAGGCAGAGGCACCCTTTTCCCCACCACCATATGCCTACCAGGCACACACAAAGCTGGCTGACACACAACACAGCCTGCACCATCTTGCTGCAGTTCATACCATGTCCATCAGCCCATTAGTCAAGCTCCTTCCTTCTGGTTCTCAGTCCAGGAGAGCCCAAGATTTGCTTCCCCACCCCTCTCCAATGCAGACACAAGGCTTAAGAGTACAGCACTGAGGACCAGGGTAATCCTTCTACATGCCAGGATGGGGCCTCAGCTGTCCACTACCTCTCCTACCTTCTGGCCAATAAGGAGGCTGGAGGAGCTGTGGCTTCTCGCCAACATGTGAGGGATCATGGAAATGCTACCTGTGCCCTAAGATACAGCCAGAGAGCCTGGGTGAGCTCCGTGCAACCCTCCTAGTGCTATGATTACCATTAGCACAAAACAAGAAGGTTTGCTGCACCCTCTACAGGCAAGTAAGAAGGGATCTGTCCCTAGCTACCAGCCTTGGTCCACACAATCTCTTGGTTTTTCACATAATAGATCTGATTTGTAAACTCTAAAATAAACACTTGAAGGACAAAAAATAAAGCAACAGAGCAAGAGGTGTTGCCAGAGGCAGAGATCCAGTGGAGCCAGGCAGCCAGCTATTTGCTCTGCTCACTAGTGCTGCCTTCTCCCCTTAACACAGGGCAAGTGGAGGCTGCACAGAGCTCCCCGACTGCAGAGTCCCGAGCTGTCAGTCTGTCCTGGTCAGCCCAAGCTGTCAATCTGTCCTGGTCAGCCCGAGCTGAGGTAGTTTCACTAAAGCCGAGGCTCTGGTCCCTGTCTGGATGTGTATGATATTCAGCCAGTTTCTCTTTCATTTGACCAAATGGCTAGATGTGCTCTGCAGGGTAGGAAGTGCCAAGAGCATGGTGAGGCCCAGCATCCAGGCTATAACACAAAGAGTCTTTGGTTGCGGGAGGAAATGGCCACCTGTTACTGCAGGTCAAAGTCTTGGCCCCATCAAGACACTGCAGGTAGGAACCTGCACCCATTCCCATGCCCGCTGTCTTCAGTTCAATTTCTTGGCAGGTTTCCTGTTCTTCCACATCACAATCACTATGAAAGTCCCTAAGAGAGAGAGAAAGAAAAAATGTGAAGAAAATGGCCAAAAACCCTATAAGTACTACAGCTGTCTAAACACCATTGCTATGGGGAACAGAACCACTTCACAGGATGAGACCAGGGCAGCTCCACTGTGCAGGAGCTCACAGCTGGAGTAGGCAGTGCTGTGAGAGAGGTCACATGGCAATCGCTATCGCTTCCAAGTAGCTGGGCCAACAGTGACCAACCAGCTTCTATAACAGACTTCTGATCCCAAAACAGAAGAGAAATGTTACTCACCTATGAACAGCAGCAGCAGGAGCCCTGCAACCACAGGAATGGTAACAGAATATTCCCTGGGCAGGAAGTACTTGTGAATCCCGTGATTGCTATCAATGAAGGGCTGCAAGAAACAAAGAGGGGCATCAGCAAGCTGGGGCAATATGCAGCTACTTGCCAGCACTCAGACCTTCCTGCTTGTAGGGACAGAAGTACAAGCTTTAAGAGTGACAGTTAACAATGATGCTGATGGATAGAGAATAGAGCCAAGGGGCCACGAACTCTCCCCTCCAAAGCTTGTCTTGATTTCTGACTAGCTGCCTGGCACTGAACAACCTGCTCAACCTGGTGAGCGTCCCCCATGCTTCACTGGGCAAAACAGAAACAATATTTGCCTTGTTTTAGACGCGAGGCAAAGATCGTCTTTCACAGAACTTAGAACAGACTGAGCGTTACAGAGCAGCACGTGGGCTGACAGCAAGGCGTAGGGACAATGAAAAAAACCCAACCATACAGAGTTTGCAGCCGCAGAACAACGAGCTGAGAGGATGTCAGAAGCGAGCACCATTCAGAGCACGGCCAGGAGCTGTCAGGGATCCACATGCCAAGCAAACTGAAGCAAGTCTCCAGACTGGCCTTGCAGGCTCAAAGAGACGCTTCCTCACCAGAGATGTGGGTTTTCCACAAAATTTTGAATTGGAAAATTTTCTGGAAATTTTTCCAATGCCCTAAATAGAGCGTGATCTGATTTAGCATGTTTATTTGACGTATATTTAGTAAGCAAAACTAAAAAAACACCCCATGTTAATTTTATGTCCCGACAGCCACAAGTGTTTGAACTGGAATATTTAATTTAAAAAAATTAAATACAACACACTTAATGTGATTGAAATGTTACAGTCAAACAAATTCAAAGCAGAGCTTTGATGTGGAAAAAAAATTACATTTTTACAAGTATGCCAATAAAAGTAAAGACAATACACAACAGCACGTACTTACCTAACGTTGTTTAAATTTAAGAAAAGAGAGTGAAGGCTCTGAAAAATGTTGACACACTAATTTTAGCACACCCAAAAACTGTGCATGAGATGCCATGATTTGGTTTAGATTTGACCTGCACAGCCAATTAGGTGAATTCATAACTTGATTTTTGGACTGGAGGATTATGGGAGTGTATTTACACATCAATAAAACATATATGTACTCTCTCTCACACTTCCTAGGGATAATTGCCTGAAACACGTGAATGACAACTTTGACACTGCCGAGCTTGCCTAACAGGGCATTGACATCCCTTCGTTGTTACTAATGAATTTTAGGAAACGATTAATTTTTAGAAATGGAAAATTTCTCACAGAAAAATAAAGCGCTGGACGGTTTTCCACCCCACGATGCTCCTCGCCCAATTCCCTACGCATCTGCGAGGCTTTCCAGGACCGTGCTCAGCTCAGTCGCTGCTCACTCGACCCAGGAAATGGGGGACCCCAGAAGTGCACGGCAATGGGAGCGCGGCCCCTATCTGAAACCCCCCTGAGCCGGCCCGGGGCTATTCGGAGTCTGTGGCAGCTCTTGCTTCCCCCCGACTAGGAAGCCCAATGCGGGGCGAGGTGGTGACCCCTCGGCCCCTCCAGCGCTGCCAGCTCGTGCCCCGCGCCCCCCACGGCCCCCCGCGCCGGGGGGGGGGGGGGGGGGGGACACGGGGACAGGCAAGGCCCAGGGCAGCCCCTTCCGCCGGGCCC